TGTGATTACATTGGGTCCATATGAATAATCCAGGGCAATTCCTTTATCTCAAGATTTGTTATAGGTAGAATTACATCCCCTGACATTTATATGTCAAGGTTCCCAACGCCAAGACATAATGTGGTCTATCACTTGTAACTATTAAAAATGTAGTCTTATTTATGTTACTTAGAAAGAGGATCATTGAGATAAAATTAAGACAAAATCTTAACTAAAATTACAGTAACTCATGTACTGCCACTGAAGTATAGTGGGCTTCTATTCCTAAATGACTATGTATTTATAAAAAGCATCAAATTTGCATACTGACAGCCACACAGATATACACACAGTTGCAATGAGAACATGAAAGCAGGGATGTACCCACAAACCAAAGACTGCAAGCAAACCAACAGAAGCTTCAGTGTCCTCATGACCCTCAAAAAGGACAAACTTCGCCAGCATCTTGACTGTGGATTTCTAGTTTCCAAAAGTCACCCAATTTGTGCTACTACATTACACCAACCCTGAGAGACTAATACAAAATCCTTAATGTAATCACATCTGCAAAGTCGCTTTTGTCATTTAAGATAATATAGTCATGAACTTGGAGAATTAAGTCATGGATATCTTCAAGGTATATGGTGATTTAACGTATCATAACATGCTAAACATCTATTTTATATTACATGACTTTGGCCATAATTGATTGGCCCAAAGGTTGAAACATGACTCAAGAAGAGCCAACTCATTGATTTGTCAGGGACCAATCAGATTGGGTCCCTGAGAACAGAGTCAATGAACACAGAGACTAATACAGTTGGTGACTTGTGAAACATGTAAAATTATCAGGAGGCCTGGCACTTTGGCAAGGCCTACAAAAACCAAGTAGAGAAATTGAACACAGGGCAGAAAGGAAGAGCAATGAAAGACCCCAACTCTCCAACTGGATGAAAATCAGAGTGGCCTTTGGAGTATTTACTAGCCTATCTGTTCACTGCAGATCTGTTTTCACCACCCTTCACTTCTTGTCCCCCACTTGGCCCCAGGCAGAAACGCCCACTCTCTAATCAGATGAATCTACATCTCACATTACACTACCAAACACCAGTTCCCTACTGGTCCTCCTTAGTTGGTGCTCTAGGTTGACAGTAGTCTCAAAAGACACATTTACCCAAAATCTATGAATGGAACCTTATTTGGAATAAGGGTCTTTGCAAATGTAATGAAATGATCTTAAAGTGAGACCATCCTGAATTAAGGTAGAAAGTTAAACCAAATGGCAGATGTTCATACAACAGACAGCAAAGGATGAGACACAGGGAAGGAGGCTAAGCACAAGAGGCAGAAACTGGAGCTGTACCACCGCAAGCCCAGGAACATCTGGGGCTACCAGACAGTGGAAGAGGCCAAAAAGAATCCACATCAGGGCCTTCCACAAGGACATGTCCTTTCCACTCTGATTTCAGCCCGCAGGCATCTAATTTTGTGAAATATTAAGTTTCTGTTGCCTTAAGGCAATACATTTAAGGCAATTTGTTACGTCAGTGCTAGAAAACTAAAACAGTACAGACAGTGGATTTCAAATGCACCAGGATAAAAATGTAATGGAAGGACAAAGTGTGGAAAGCTGAAAGAGTCAGCATTCAAGTGGGCAGACAATCACACAGGTATGGAGACTGATTCCATGCCTGGAAGGTGTGAACCAGGTCCTGCTTCTTCCAGAAACCTGGGCCAGGAAACAATTCACCTGTGGCTCTTAAGTCTCAGGACTTCCAATGTCAGTTTCCTACATTTCTGTAAAATGCTCCTCTAAACAACAAGCTATTAGACTTTAGGGACCATGAAGTCTTACTCCACTTTGTGCTCCTGCTGTGAGTTGAATGTGCCTCCCCAAACTCACGTGTTGGAACTTACACCCCAGGGCACAGTGGTGAGAGGTGGGAGCTTTATGAGGAGCTCAGGTCATGAGGCCTCTGCCCTCATAAATGGACCACTGCCATCATGCAGACATGAGTTTCCAATAAAAGTAAAGGTTGGCTTCTTCCTCTCCTCTCCTTTCTCTCTCTTATATGCTGTCCTGCTCTTCCATGGAATCACACCAAGGTCTTTGCCAACGATGGACCCCTAGATCTTGGTTTTTTCAATCTCCAGAACTGTAAAAAATATAACTTACTTATGTATGTAAAACATGTGTTAAATAATTTGAAACAATAAATACCTAATTGGTGATAACTGCCTCAGGAAAGGAGCAGAAAGAAGGGAATTAGACTAGACATATTGGTTAAAGGGGCCCTCATTGTAATTTAGCATTTGATATCTTTTTTCAAAGACTGGGCAAAAAAGATGATAAAATGCTAAGGGATTTTAATTCTTGGCAATAAGAACATAGATATGAGTGTCTATTAAATTATTCTTTATACTTTCCTAGTTTTTTGTTCTCAAAATTAAAAACAAGCCAGGCATAGGAGTGCATGCCTATCATTCCAGCACTTGGGAGGATATGGCAGACAGCCTGCAGCAAGTTCAAGGCCAGCCTGGGCTACAGTGAGGCCCTGTTTCAAAAAAACAAAAAATTAACAACAAAGTATGGGTTCCAGGTACTAGCTCTCTATACTCTGAGGTTGGCCCTGCCTTTGTCTTTTTCTCACCAAAATGCTTCCTCCCTGCATGACCAGCCTCTGTGACTTTGCATGATTCCCTTTCCGGTGCTGCCTCCCGAGCACCACCATTTCCTGGCAGTGTCCTCTCTCATCCTTCAAGGCTCAGCCAACGGTCCCCTTCCCTTGACATGCTCTCCATCCTGCTCATACAAAGCCGGTGTCCCATTTACACCAGCCCAGTCCAGCCTCGTACTGGGCACACTGCCTGTACTCTATGGTATCCTTCAAATAAATGAAGCAATGAAACAGTGCACAGCTAGTTTCCAATAAGCATGACTTGTAAATATATATGAAATGTCAGTGAGGTCAAACAAAGCTCTCAGGGACACGAACGCCGTGGCCCCTAAGCTCTTGTGCATCAGATAAATGATTTACAAAAGACTGAAGTGGCCATCTTTGAATATATGAAAGGAATTTGAATGGTGAATTGAGAACTGTTCCATTTCTGCCAAGCACTGAGATAATGAGTTTAAATTATAGCTAAAAAGATACTGATTAGATATTGAAAAGAAATTAATAAGAGCAACATACCATACTGGGAAAAGGCATGGTTTTGGAGTTAGACAGACCTGGTAATGAATCCCAGCTCCTCTGCTTGACAGCTGTTTAACTTTGGTCATGTTACCTAATCTCAATATCCTCATTTGCAGAATGGTGATAATATTATCTTCCTTACATATTAATATGAAATTAAAAGACAAAATACGTTAAGTAGCTACTTCTGCTAGATCATCATAGAACTCAAAAGAGAGACCTCAAGAGGAGAGACCTCTCTCTTGAAATTTTTGAAGTTAGATCATGCAATGTATTTGTTTAGCAGAAGCTATTACTTGTAGAAGGAGGATATGACCCAGGTCCCCTACAGGGCACTTGGATCCCCTGCAGTCTCTGTGTCATAGAACCCTGAGGAATCCCAGAGGAAAAGGTTCTGAAATCCATCTTTAAAAGTCAGCCTCCCCTGAAACGAGGTCACTATCTGAGGTACATGATATATGTCGTGTGTGTATTTGAGGTACATGCTAGTGGCGAGGCCAGGCATTCCACAATGGTGTTTTTCTTTTATTTCTTTAAAAAGAGATGTCACTTGTGATCCTGATAACAGCCTAGGTTAAACTGTTTAGCATTTTCATTTTAAAAAGTGATACTTAAATTGTCTTTTTAAACTTTCATTACAAAAGGTGGTAGTTAAACTGTCTTCCTTCAGCCCTAACATCTACACCTTCCCTGCTCCGGTCCTGATAAGGAGCTCCAAGCTGGGATTGTGCTTCCATTTCATTTCTCTTTCTCATCGGCTTCCAGTTAGGGACACAAAGGACGATTTGATCAAGACTCTTTGAGAACTCTTCTGCTCCAATCTGTTCTTAGCCCTTAAAGATATGATATCAGATCATGGTTTGGGGGGATAATGAACCAGAAAATGAATTCATACTATGATGCTCACAGCCTTTGTTTTTAAAGAGATCTTTCACCTATGCTAAGTAGACAATCTGTCTTTCCTGGACAATAAGATCAGAATTCATCTCTAATTTAAAAAATGTATAATCCCGGATCCATAGGTTCAGCAGGGCCGGGCAGCACACCTAGATTAGGAATCTGAATGATACCCAGATGTACACCCCAGAGTGTGACCCAGCCCACCCAACTCCCTCCTGCCCCCTGCTCATCCCCTTTCTCTCTCCCATCTTCCCTAACCTGTTTTTAGCAATGGACAGAGATATTTTTCAATCACTCCCAACAATGCACTTTACAATTCGTACAGCTCTTTCCCTGTGGACTCGTAGCACTATTTACACTTGGGTCTCTCAAGGAGTCACAGAGAAGGTGCTTTTTCCTTCATGGGATGTGACAAGGTTCAATACATAATGAACAAAATGTCATAATCGCTCGATAAAGGCGTTTTGTAAAACACATGGAACAAGTAATTTTTTTAAAAAACTCTAAATGAAGATTCAATTCCAAAGGGAAGAATGCCTTTGGGTTTTTTGACAAAGCAAAATATTCTAAACTTCAATTGTTTAATAGGGTTTTCCCCAGCAGCACTTGCACATATTAATTCTCATTTCAAGGCAGCATGTTTATTTTAGTTCCAACCTATTTTCAAGGGTAGGTAATTAGAGAAACTAAAAGTGCATATCTTATTGCTTAATTTAGAGTCTACCACTGTGTTTTCAGGCCTTTCTTGGGCTATGTTTTAATGACACAGAACAATGAAAGATTTTTATTCAACTGTAAGTGCTTGAGAAAGGCAATTAATAAAAGTCAGGTTATATATTCTGATTTTTAAAAGAAATCTCATCCTATTATTTTAAATACCAGCTTTTGCGCATGCAAGCTAAGTCTTTGTGTAATAAATCTCACCAGAATTTCCCAGGGCTCCAGATATAATTGCTGCAGTCGTTTCTCTGAAGTCTGGGCACTTGTCACAGGATTCCCACAGTCACCACCAATAATAACTGTCCTCGCTGGCCAGCACAGAAGCCACACGTGCTCCTGGAGCATCTTTCTAAGGAGGAGAAACCAGAATCCACATCCAAGAATTGTAGCTGGACAATTGCCAGCTGCCCACATCAGCACAGACTCATGGGAGTCCAGGAGTCACGCGTGCCCTTCTGAACCACACGGGTAATTTTTTTAGAGTAGCCACACTTTCTAAAACTGACACTGATTTCAACAATGTACTTTAACCCAACATTTGCAACATGTCACCGGGCAGTTAATATAAAAAGTTGCTGAAATATTTTAACTTTTTCATCTAAATCCTCAAACTCTCATTTTTTCACACATCTCTTATCTGGCTGCTAAATTTTCAATTATTCAGTGAAATGCAATCCTATCAAAACGAAGCACAGTTAGTGGGAAAAAATTTTGTACTGCTTCAGTTTTTATTTTAAATTTTAATTACAGTTAAAAATTCAGTTCTTCAGTTGACCCAGCCACCTTCCCAACCACACTGCTTGGCGCATGACTAAGCTGCCTAGTGGGACGGTGCGGAGCAGTGCCCACAGACCTCTTTTACTCTGAACCTACAGCTGGGAGTCCCCCCAATCCACCCCCATCTCCCGAGAGATGACTCAGACAGTTATTAGCTCTGGTGTTTAAAAAGCTCTTTTTTACACTGAGCTGGAAACCACTGCCCTGACATTTCCATCTTCAAATCTCACATGTTTTTCACAATATCTGTCCTTCCCTGCAGAGCAATGAGAGAGAACTGACCATTCCAGCTGCTCCAGGGCTCTGGCAGCCCAGGCAATGTCAGTTCGGGTCTCTTGAGGTCTCCTCACTATAACTCTGTCTGCCCAAAGGGCACCACGTCCATCACGGAAGAGCCAGGCTGTTTTGAGAAAACTCTCTCTTGCACCAGCGTCCACTTGATGGGACAGGCAGGAGGGAAAAGAAGGGCGGTTAATAATGGCTTTTCCCCGTGGTGAAGTATTCTGCTCTTTCTCAGCTTTATGCCATAAAGAAAAGCTGCAGAGCAGTGACCTTAAATACTACAGAAAAAGAGCCCACATAAAACTGAGCGTTTGGTACCTGACACCAAGACAATTTTTCAGAGACACTTTTGGAGGAAAGATGAGCACAGTGGAACTGTTAAATTTTAATGTGCGTAAAAATATACGTTTTGTATAAATAGAGTGATCAGATAAATGCTGTTGTCATGGTACTTTACCCCATCTCACATCAGCATCTTCACCCATTTTCACAGCCCCACTCCTGAAACTCATTTTAAGAACTCAGAGTGTGTCCTATGTGTTCCTCGGGACCTATGCAGTCCAGCCCAGCCCTTTAAACACACCTATATAGTCTGAGCAGCTTGTGTTGGCTCATTCTACAGACAGACATGTTATGCACACTTTCCTGCACCTTCCTTTTCCCAATCAACTCTCGTTAAGCTGGGTTTAGAAGAGCAAAGCTTTCTGATGCTCTCCCACTGTTCTTCTGTCTCAAACTGCCACGTTGGCAGACACAAAAGGCCAGATTGCTGCTCGGTCCTTGCCACCAAAACAAAACGCACTCCCCTGGCAGAGCACAGGGCAGACCATCCCAAGCACTCCCCCGGCCTCTGGGTGACGGGTATGTGATTCCCTTGTCAGCCACAGGGCAGCCAGGCTGTCTCTGGGAACTTGGTGCCTCCTCCAGTCCCGGGTACCCGGGAGCACCTCTGCACCTAACTTTACTGTTCCATGTTGGCAAAATACACAAATGCTTCCCATCTGAGGAACTGAAAATCAAACCAGTAATTGGAAACCTAGCAGGTTTGTAGGTGTGAATGGAGGTTTTTACCAGGTATACTGACTTGACAGAAACAATTATACGCAGCAGAACCAGAGAAAGGCCTCTTCTATCTTGGAAATCACTCATCACTGTCCAGTACTTTGCTCACTTCCTTTATCCTGTCTCTATCCTTCTTCCCACACCTGAGCAGCAGCAGGACCCTCAGAGGACTGGCCCAGTCCTTTAGCACTGCATGCCCTCAGGGCAGGAGTGAGGAACTATGTTCCCCAAAATATTTCATGTTTCAGTGCCCCAAGTACGTCCAGAAATCATGGGGCAATGTTCCCTGCATCTATTTTTAATTGCTGCAGACTCTAATGACATTCTTTGGAAAATAACCACCTTCCTGAGATTTTTTCAGGCCCAAGGAGGAGGATGGTGATGTAAAGCTTTCAGCTAATAGCTTAGTTTATTCTGGTGTCATTTCTTTTATTTCCTTTCGACTTGTTATTTATGGTTTAAATTTTTTGCACCCCGGTGGTTGGCCTGCTTTCCTCAGGAGAATAATTAAAAAAAGAATTTAGATGTTCAGCCTTTTTTTTTTTTACCATTGTGTTGGAGGCAGTCGAGGTGTTTCACGGGAGTGAAGGAAATGAGAAAGGAGTAAACATCACTGCAGTCACCCCCAAAACCCCAAAATAAAATCTGTTGTCTTTAAAAGGCATTCAGGTGTTATTCTTGTGATCTGGGATGACACAACACATTATTCTGGTAGTCACTGGATTCTGTTGGCAAGTAACTAAATGACTTATGCGTGTGGCCAAATTATGGTAGAATGAATTCGTCTGTGACCAAACAGTTCTGTAACAGAAAAGGGATCAAGATTGTCCAAAGTCTGTCTCCCCTACAGCTGGCCAGATCCTGTTACATGTCTGTGAGCCTATATAAAATGAATGGAATCGAAATGGAAAGGAAACAAAAGAACACAGCTCCCATTACAGAAGAAGTGTGTTTAATCAGGCAGGGGCCATGAATTGCAACATAAATCAGAGGGGAAAAAATAAAACTTTCTTCATGAGTGATTCTTTCTACCCTTGAAGACAATGATAATGAAACTGACAAACACACCTTGGAGGCCAGCTTCAAGAATCGAATCGATTTATTTAATAATTTAGGAATCACTTCTAGCCATCTCTCCCATTAAAATCTGAGGGGCCATTGTATTCTCTATTTCCTCGGTTCCTTTCCTTTCTCTTAGTTATGCCTCACTGACTTTAATAAATAAGTAATACAGAGCGGGGAAAACACTTATCTGGAGTACCTTGCCTCCACCTTCACGCTGCAGGGCTCTCTGATTCTTTTCTACTTGTAAGTAAATGGAGTCAAGAACAAGCTTCTCCCGTAAAGGCTGGGGCAGCGGGGTTAGACCCCTAAGTATGGTCACAGCCGCTCCATGGCCTGGAGCGCTGCTCAAGTCTACAAAAGAGCAGCACAATAAATAACACGCTAGGACAAGCTCGGAGAGGCGAAGGCTCATTCCAAAAGCAGAGCAAGGGCACACAGGCGACTCTGCAGCCCGTAAACGGCAAGAATCCACGGCGACCAGCAAGGGGGAATTCCAACAGCATCAAAGTAAACTGTGATCATTTGTAGTTTATTGCTCCAAAGCGAGGGCTGCTGAACCCAGCTGCAGTTATATTTCCTCATGATGTTTGAAGAAAATGGGAAAGAGATTGCAATTACACTGTGGGTCTCAGAAAGCAAACTTGCTGATGGAGCATGGTTGTGTCCTCACTCAATAGCACCTCCTCCCAACTCTCCCCACTTTGGGCAACCAGCACCTCTTCCTCGCCTTTCTCTTCCTTTTATGGGGGACCCATAAGCCCAAAAAGCCACTGTGCACCTTTACACAGAAAAGATCTTGCTCTCTGCAGAGCCAGCCTAATGATGGAACAGGAGCCATGCTGGCGGTCTACAATGTTGACTCCATCTGCCACCCCAGCCTCAAGGACAAAACTCAAACCTTAGGCAATACCAGCATCCCCTTCCCACCTTGTCTCAGTCCTTTGGGGCCCCTCCTCAGCTCCAATGGCTTCCCCTCTTCTCGGGTCTTTTCCCTGGTCTTTTTAGGGTTTCAGGGTTACACCACTGGAAAGCACATACCTCTACTCTTCCCTATCTATCTCTAGCTAAATGATTGCTTTCTACCTTTTAGTACTTGGTTCAAGTAAGAGCCCTTGTCCCCAAGAATGTCCTCACACTGCTGCCCACATCACTAGAGGACGTGTGTGCCTGGCCCCCAATCACCTGATAATGTAACAATCGTGTTGCCCTGCCTGACTATCGTTACCACGCTGCATCTCATTAAGAACAGAAGCACGCATATCACTCAGGACACAACAGGTGTCTAACACGCACGTCAACCAAAAATTAAGGAAAGCTGTGTTGACTCATTGCTGAAAGGCAGTGGGCATTTGCCCCTGGTCTGGAACTAACTGGTGGTTCCTGGGTTTTTCAGTTAGGAGAAAGAGAAGCAAAAGGGGAGATCAAGTGCCTGTTACGCCTGGAAACTAACACCCCAAGTCTTCACCCCGAAGGCTCTGGAATGGTGACTCATTCCTGTGAGGAAAACATGCCCCACGCCATGCAGCAGCTTCTTTCCTCCACAAATTAATCATGATTCTGGTGTTAATTCCATAAATAATTCATGAAGTCAAATATAAAGTACTGCAAATACTTTCACCAACCATACAGTGCAGTTTCATTCACAGGAAAAAAATTTAAACATAAACCTGGAAGTTTCTTTGGTCTGCAGGAGTTCTTATGTGGCTACATGCACATTAAATTCCACCAAATACCCTTATTAAATAAATATTCATTAAGCTCCCTGTCTGTGCTAGGCATGGCACTGAGCAGAAATAATTAAAGAACACAGTTCCCTCTGTAAAAGACACACCTCTCCTCTACAGACAAAGAGAAACAAGGAAACACAGGTGACAAGCATTGAGGAGACACCCCATGAGGCACACAGTGTAATGGTTAAGTCTCTGTCCTCTGAAAACAGACCTGGGTCCAGCTCTGCCTCCTGTCTAAAGGCCTTTGAAGCAGTAAATGTCTCTGACCCTCAGCCTTCTCTTCTTGTATGATGACAATTATGCGACCTACCTGAGTGTTAGCCTAAGAAAAAGCAATGCAATAGGAATTAACATTATTAATAATACAATATTAATATTATAACACAGGTTAAGCATCCTTAATATGAAAATGCAAAATGCTCCAAAATGCAAAATCTTTCTGTATCTATATGATGGATTTGTAATCATTTTCTTTTTAACCCCTCAATACTAGGAGTTGAATCAAGGGCCTTTACGCTAAATTATATGCCTGCTCCACTTTTTTTTTTTTTTTTTTTTTTTTGAGATAGTCTCCTTAAATCACTAAGTTGCCTACTATGGACTTGAACTTTTGATTGTGCTGCCTCAGCCTTCCAGAGTATGGAAATGACAGGCGCACACAGACAGTAAGTCCCTGTGACTGAGACAAACACCTGACAGCTCAACACCCACTATTTCATGTATTAAAACTCCTGACACCATGCTATAAAATTTCCCACAGTTTCTGTGTATAAGATATATATGAGATGTAAAGTAATTTCATGTTGAGACCTAACCCCCTTCCTAAAATATCTCAGTATGCTTGTGTAACTATTCCACAATCCTAATCATTTCGATTTTGGAGTACATACCCAATCTACATACGACTCACTTTAGGAAAAAGTTAAAGGATTCTCGGGTAAGCTGTGCTCAAAAGCACACATGGGGAAGAATATCTAAGTTTTGGGGAAGGAATAGGCACCTGATTGGTTGAGCCCAGTCCAAAATGAATGTGCAATCCTTTTTCAAAAATTTATTAAGACATCAAGGGGAGTAATAAGAAAGCAGATGCAGCGTCCCTGGAAGAGAAGGTGCTGGGCAACCACTCATGTCAGAGCCCTGAGTTCCCTACCACTGGAAGCATGTGATTGACACATGAACTTCAGCAGAGTTTCCTAGAAACCAAATTATTAGCCTGAGCCATTTTCTAAATGGAAGATGCTTCTGTCTACAGTTTCAGAAGCATACCCTGGCTGCTAACACCAGGTTGTGCGCATGTGTAAATAATATGCATGCACCTCCCTTCCCTGTACCTCTAATGCTATCTGACATTCACAAGAAAATGCACAAGACTACTTTCCTGGCCTGAGATTCCTGGGGGGAAAAAATCACTGAGTCTGAGAATCAGGAGTGCAGATATCAGCCCCAGTTCCCTCTGCTCAAGGCAAGTAAACTGACGTCTCCAGACACCAGTGTAAATTGCAGCAATAGAGTCGCTGATCTCTAGGGTTTCTTCTGAATAGAATATTCTACATTTCTGTGCAATAGCAGCAGGAAGGAGAAAATAAAAGTCTGCAGCACCAGAGTAAAGTAATAATAATTTTAAAACAAGCTCTATGCCTGCTGACTTTTTAATATACCATTTCTGTTCTAGAAAAAAAAATCTATATTATGCAAAATAAAATGCTTTTGAAAACGCCTATAATGTCCTTGTGTGTGTTTCATTTAGCAGGTGTGGTGTATTTCATGCCATTAAGGCCTTGTGTAATAGGGTCTCGGAAACCCAATCACTGGTAACACTCCATTTAGACCACTCAGCATGGGGAGCATATATTTCCTGTACATCACTGGCTGGTTTTATTGCTTAGAACATTTGCATAAAGCCAAAGAATTATCCCCAGGGGGTAGATCATTTGCTCCTGCTTTTCCTCACCTGAAGCTGCCATCCTTCAAACCTCCTTCCTGGCATCATCTCCCTGACTCCCAGTTGTGAAATTATCTACTGAGTAACAAGCTTCAGAAACTTGCGCAGATCCCCAAAAGCCTCCAGATCTGGGGGCCTTCTTTGGAAATTCATCTAACGAATTTGGATCTTAGGACAGCCATTCTCAAGCTGCAGTATGCATGGGAATTACCTGAAAGGCTCCGTACTGAGAGGGCCAGGCTCTACTCCCAGTTCCTGACTCAGTAGGTCTGGAACAAGGCCCAAACATTTATAATTCTAACAAATTCACAGTGATGCTGATGCTGCTGGTCCAAGAACTATACTCTGCTAACCACTGTAAGCAGTAAGTTCCTACACAATAAAAAATAAAAAGATGTCTAAAATATGGTCCACAGAAAGTTTACCAGTGCAAAATGAATGAAAGGCAGAAAACTAAGAAATCCTCTGAGATTGCATCAATCTAAAATATTTCTCTGCAGAGAGGAATGTTTTCCTGTTGGCCATTCATTCCCAGATACCGGAGAGTTCATGGGGGAGAGAAACAATGGCTTGCCACTGACTGGAAGTCTTCAGACTGCTCAGGCTCCAACAGAAATACTTTTCCCCAAGGTTCCATTGTTCCTGAAATCCTGGAGCATCAGCACCACAGGGGCTGGTTAGACATGCAGAACATTAGGTTCCACCCCAGATCTACTGAGCCAGAATCTATGCTTTCTCAAGACTCTCAGCAATTTGTGGACACATTGGCGTTGCAAGGCAACTTATCCAAGTAAGTAGGAGGTGGAGAGGAGCACCACTGATACCAAGGAGACAGATCTTTTCAAGGGTGGGTCCGCATTCTTGTGGCCTAAGCCTGGTGGGAGTCTAACCCAGAGCAAGAGACAGAACATGCACATACACGAACACCTCTCTGCACCTCCCAGCCATGTCTGTCACTGCTGCCTGATGCACTTGTCAGGACCAGGACAGAAGAGGGGCTGCAAACTCAGCATGTGAGGTACCAGGCAGGGAGCTAGTGACTATGAACCAGGCCTGAGATGAGGCAAGAACCAACAGCACATTCTGTCCTAACGGCCTCTGGTTTTGGAACTCTGGAAACAAGCCAAAGAGAGGTATGAGCCACTGGGTGCTGGCCCTCAGGCTGCCCAGTTGTCCATCCCTGCCCTACAGCAGTAATATTGACTAACACGTATTGACCACTTACTTCAACACAGACTCTGTTACCGTTGTCACACCACCCGTATTTTAAGCAAAAGGCTCAGATAAGATCTGTGAAATCAACCAGGTCAGAAATGGTCTGATGAAACCTGATAAAAATCAGGCTTGATTTGGGTGGGTCTGTTACCTGGGAACGATTGCCTAGTCTTCTTCGAGAGATTCCCACAGCAACTCTTGGTCCTCCCCGCAGATACATAATATGAGTGCAGATGCCTTTTTGTTGTGTGAGGACCTCAGTCTGGGCAGCAGGTCCACGCAGGCAGTGATGCTGGGGCACGTATGGTCTTGGCTCAGCCTCTACCTTCTGCAGCTGCCGGCCACTGTCATCCCCCACAGGCCCAGCCCTCCAGATGGCATAGAAAGCCTAATTGCCATTGTTAGCACTGATGGTGCATGGCAGACAAGGAGAGAGGGACAGGCAGCAGAGGAAATCCTTCCCTCTCTGAACAGCTCCTACCTGTGCCGCTACCTGTGCCAGCTGTGTCTGAGGGACACCCTGGGCCCCTTCTTGCTGCAGAATCCAAATAGAAGCCATCGGGAAGCGTGCCCTTGACACTGATTGGCCTGACAATGGTGAAAACACATCAAAAATTAAAAAGTCTGACCAGATCAAGTATTGGTGAGTAAGGACTATAAATTGAACTATCACTTTGGAAAGCTACCTGGCATTACTTAGTAAAGTCAAAGGTATTCATTTTTGTGACCACGCAGCATTTCCAGTGAGAGGACTACCTACACCTGAGGACCTAAAAACATACTTGACCTTGTGTGCCAAGGTATACAGGTTAGAATGTTCACAGCCATGTCACTTATAGATACCACAAACTCAAAACAACCCTATTCCCACTAGCAGTAGAGCAGGGAAATAAGTTAGGGTTGGGTCAATCAATACTGTCACTATTGTTGTTACTCAGAAAGAAAAAATAAGCAATTTAGTCTTGAGCAAAAATAAAACAGACCAAAGATAGATAGTGTAGGATTAATGTTCCAAATCACCAAAAGTATTTACCACTACACCATATTATTTTGGGATATGTTTGAGTGTGGTAGCACACACTTGTAATCCCAGCACCCAGGAGGCTGAGGCAGGAGGATTGCTTTGAGTTCAAGGCCAACCTGGGCTCCATAGTGAGTTCAAGGCCAGCTTGGACTCCATAGAGAGACCTTAACTCAAAAAGACAACAACAAAAAAAATTAAAGTAAAGTAAAATAAAATAAATCAAGAAAACTATTACCCAATGTCAATATGATATAGATAATTCTAGTGAAAGAACTTATTTAAAAAGGAGAAGGATTTTATATATATATACATTGCAGGCAAGATTTGCCTTCTTGATCTGAGAAAGGTGGTCACACAGGTGTTTGCTTCTATGCATATACACTTTTGTGTATGTTTCTGTATGTTCTATTTCTCGCACGTGTGCAGCGTATGCACACACACACACACACACACACACATACACACACGAAGGAAAATGTTAAGTCATCTGCCCAGGCCTGACAGCAGCTGCCCCCTGCTGGAATCCAAGGAAAATGCAGGTTCCCTTGAGGTATTGGTGGGTGAAAAGAGATTTGAAAGGAACTAGGGAACTGCTGCTTCAGAAAAGTTATACCTAAATCTCTTCCGGAATTTTTCCAAAGTTTTATTCATGAGATGTTAACCATTTTGTTTAGCAAGTTGGTTTATCCCAGCGACCTCTGTGGTGGTGGCAGATGGCTCTAAAGAAATCCTCCTAAGTGCTACATTGGTTTGTTTGCTCACCCTCTGCTTGGTAGCAGCCCCTCTTCCCAGGGCTCAAAAAAAGTGGCCTAAGAAAGAGGAGATGGGAGGGAGGAGAGGCTGGGGCTGCAGCAGGGGCATCCTGAAGGCAGTGGTGTAACGTGGTGCTCACAACAAACAGCAGTCCAGGACTCAGTCTTTCCCTCTGCTGTACGAGCTGTGCAAATGCACAAATGTGGAAGCCTGGGAAAGACGAGCCACTAGATACATCCATCCATCGGGGCAAAAGCAGGGGTGTGCAAAAGAAAAGGGGCATGGGGAGCACTAATTTGTATGAAAATCCAGTAGAGGATTGTGTGCACATGGGGTAGGAGCCTAGAGAAAGGAGCGTTTGACACCCTGATGTTTTCAATAGTCCATCTGGTCCTCAGGGGCAGGGGGTAGATGGGGCCTTTTCCAAGCCCTGACGATTCTTCTGAAAGGGAAAAGCTAGAGCAGACGTATTCAGGGGCTTAAGTCCTGAGCAGGGCAGGGAGAAAGGGAAGGAATAAAGAAATGAAATGAGTCACATTTCTAGCCTTTAATATTTTGTAAAATGCCATAATGCAAATATTCATTTATCAGGTTGCAATGTGATTTTTCTCCATGTCTCAGATTAGTGACAACTCAATTTAATAAAAGAGAAAAAATTATAAGAGTCATCAGGTCTGGACTTGGAAGTGACACTTTTGAGTCTCTTTCTAAATTTGAAGATGTTTAGATTTTCACAGTCTAACAAAGGCCTTCCTACAGTTCCTGAAAGATTGTATCAAGGACTTCAGAAGTCATTTCTAATTTCTTGCCTTGAAATAATTATCCCCAAATAAAATGACATTTCCAAAACAAGTTTTCAGGAAACTACTCTGATTCAAAATTACTTATAAAACCAGATTGCAAAAAAAAGAATAGATCGCCTATTACCTCTCCAATTATTCAACGAATAATTATAATTGTTTGAGTACTGTATCTGTGATTCAACTAACTTTAGATAGAAAGTATTTCCTCCATAAAAATTAGTCTGCACTGAACATGTACAGATTTATTCCTTTATTCCCTAAACAATGCAGTCTAACAACTATTTACATTTATATTGTGTTGGGTGTTATGAGTAATCCAAGATGATTAAAAACATTTGGGAAAGGGGATTTAGTTCAGCAGCATGAGTGCCTGCCTGGCGATCACGAAGTTGCCAGTTCAATCCCTCATACCAAAAAAAAGTATATGGGATGATTGCAGGGGTTCCATGCCAATGCTACATTGTTCTATAAAAGGACTTGAGCATCTGAGGATCTGGATGTCCACAGAAGGTGGAGACATCCCCATCCTGCTGCTGCCACTGTAGATCAGCTGTGTTAAGTGCTGACTAGATAGCAGGCCTGGAGCTCGACACTGGTTTATGTGATCTTATGTCTGGGAGGAAGGAGAGCAGAGACACAATGTGATGTGGGGAATGAAGGGCACTGTGGGGACACTAAAGGTGTCCATCTTCCAGCCTTACAGGTTAGAAAAAGCTGCCCAAGAAACCGACACATGTTGCGATCCAGGGGAAGAGCAGAAGCTGTCCGGGAAAGAGGCAGAGAAGACCAACGCTCTGGCTGCTGAGAGGAGCGAAGGCCTGGAGAGGGAGGAAGACGGCGTGGCAAGGCTCAGAACCGGGAGCTGAGCAGTGGTGAGAAACTAAGCAAGAAGAGAGAGGTCCCCATGAGGGACCTCAAAGGTCTTTGAAGGATTCAAACTGTGTTCTAAACTCATGGAGAATCTCTACATGATGGTGGACCGGTTTTCAGATTAGAAAGATGCCATTGGCTATTGCATACAGCCTTGGATAGAGGAAAACAAGACAGATATCACGAAGACTTGTTGGGAATCTGCTCTGATGTCCTGATGGAAGATGATGTTATGTCCTGAAGGAGATGGAAATGAGGGAACCCAGAAAGGAAGAACTCAGACCTATTATGTAACTTTGCTTCCCACCCATGATGAAAAGAAATACGTGAGCACACAGAGCAGTTGTTTCCAATACAACTACGTAGATGTGACCATCCACCTAGTCTTCATCAGGCCTAGACCAGAGCTATGGATTCAGCAATGCCAATAGGATGCTTGCTAGGCCTGCAAGCATGGTAACGCTCTAGCAGACAAAGCTTCTGACATCAGACCAGCCCGCTTTCAAATTCAGCTCTACTTACTGTCTCTGACCAGAGACAAGACATTTATTGTCTCTAAATTTATTTCCCTTTTTATAAAGTAGAACAAAAGTGGCATCCTTTTAGATGGTAAAATTGAATGAATAACATGTAAAGAATATGGTACCAAGCACAAAATGGTTGCTTGCTGGTATTGTAACTGTTGGTGGTGGTGGTGATGGTGGTGATGTTACTAATAAAATTTTTCATATTGCTTCATAGTACAATTTTTCAAACCCACATTTAGCACAGCTGGTGAATGCTGTACAGGAATACAAATAAAGTTGCCTACATTTTTCCTGTGGTTTTTATACAGGTGACACTCAGTGCTGTGGTCCCAAGTGTCCAGCTGACAACACAGCACAGTTCAAAAGAACCTTGATTAGACACTCACAGGAGAGAAGATGCCACCCACACCAGGACGGCCACCTGAACATGACAATGACAATGACATCTTTGAAATATAGATAACTCTTTACTCTCAGATCTCATACCCAAGAAGAAATCCAAATGGGTCCACACAGCTTCACTGAGCTAACACGAGCCTATCTGCTAACAATAAGATGAAGAGCATACCCTGGATTGCAAGAAATGCCACACACAAGGAGCTTGAAATATTCTCCAGGAACACATTGTTGAGAGCTGCCCTGAATGCTGTTGCCTAGGCAGCAGAGCATTCAGTGATGGATGTGGAACAGGGAGACAGGAAAACAGATCAAGAAAAAATGGCATGACCTTTGGGAGCCTGAGAAGCAGAATGAGGGCAAAGCTGTATTTAGCTCCCAACTAAACCAACACTTTATAGACCAGGAGTGTCTGGCTTTCTTTTTAGCTTCACTACCTGCCTCTTTATTTTATTTTATTTTTTATTTTACCAACAACAGGTCAAAACAGAATCATCCTCAAATGCACCAACCTTAAAGCAAAGCAATCTGCAACTCAGCCCCACAGGGCTGAAACCATATGGAGGATGAAATAATAACTGCAATGTAGTAGAAAAATGTTTTGAGATATTTCAACAATATTCTCATGCTCTGCACTATCCTCATTCCCTCCGCACACGCCCCTCTCTCCCAAGGCAAATACTTCAGCTTCTAGCACTTACTGCCTCGGGAAAGCTATGCCATGGCAGAAATGCTGAGAGAAAGTCAATTTTTAGTTTGGGAGCTCCAAATTTGAAAGCCACAGCTGAGTTTAAGGCAAAGACATTTGCTTTCTAAAAGCTTAGCAGAAAACTATTGTCCCAATAGGTTGGGTGCAGTGCTCGCTTTGATAGCACATATACCAATAGGATGGGCACAGAAAAGTGAGGACAAAAATCAAGGGGGACAAAGGTAGCTACAGCCCGCTGTGTAATCCCACAACCAGCCCGAGAAAGCACCATAAAGAAAGCACAGTGAAGACCCACAGGTACTCTTAGGAGAGTAAGAGCTTTCCAAGAGAAGCCAACAAAGGGTAAGACCTTGGGGTGGGACAGCTACCTAGGAATTGTGGGCAGAGAGCGCCTTGGAAGCTTCCCTATTCAGGATAATGTGGAGAGCCACCAGATCTTCCAGGTGACCAAGGTAGGAGCGAAACCAACTTAGTAAAAAATAGAGCTGGTAAAGACTTGCAGGTCGGAAGAGAAAATGGAGCTGTCATCTTTGCAGACAGATGTGAAGGGGTGGAGATGGGAGTTGGGGAGGAAATGGGAGATCACAGCTACCAAAGACTGCGTGTCTTCTCCAGATTTAAGTGGACTGAGACCCTGAGTTCACTGAGATTAAAATTTGCACTACCTACTGAAATGGAAGCTATTGGGGAAAAAGAAGAAATTAAATCTACATGCCAAAGAATAAACCAAAAAACCTCATAGTTTACATTTCTGCACATCTCATTGTGTGGCATTAACATAATGTTAACATCACCATCATTTATCATGAAAATTACAGCTAGAGGGATCCTGGGAAGATGGTGGATTGATAGGTACCAGGGTAGAGAGCCTCTCTGAGAAGAACTCAGATGCTAGAATTTAACACCGTGGAGAAGACCAGATGAAAGGAGAGGGATTCTTACAAGCCAGGAAGAAACTGAGGAAAAAGAAAAAGGGCTGGGGATTTAGCTCAGTGGCATAAGCACTGCCTTGCAAGCACAGAGTTCTGAGTTAGATCCTCCGTACTGATTAAAAAAAAAAAAAAAAGAAAAAAAGAAAGAAAGAAAGAAAAAGAAAAAAAAATGAAGGAAGGAAAAACCTGGACAAAAGGCTGGAACCAGACACACTCTCACCGGAGCTGGTCCACACTGTATCGGGCATGCCTCGGAGTCAGACAACACATGGTCACACCGAAGTTGTGGTAGCACCAAAATTGGGGGTTGGTGAGCCCAAGGTCCTTGGTGGGAGGATGTGGAGCAATAGAGAGAGGAAGCAATGTGCAGAGCTGCACTAACCCGTGGTGAGTGCTAGGAACTGGGTCCCAAGGACAGGGTGACTGGCTGGACAATACATTGGAGTTGGGCAGAACGGGCCTGAACCCGGAACCACAGTGGCATCAGTCCACCGCTCCTGGCCCAAAGAGGACTGGTGGGATCTGCTTGGGCTGGGTCATGCCCCTGGTCAGGACCCAATAGCCAGGGACAAAACTGTCCCAAATCTGTGAGGTCTGCACAGCACAGACTAAAGGGGTGAAGGTACTCACTGGTTGACTGGCTCAGAGGAGAGATGCCAGCCAGCATCTTCCCTGCATGCACCTCAAATAACAGCAAACTGGAGAAGGCAGCAAGCCCCCAGCTAGCACGCTTTAGATAAACCGTAGGCAATACGGAGAGGGCCAGAGACCTCCACCATACACCTGTCTGAAAGCAGCCAGAAACATGACAAGAGAAAGAAACAAGAAAAAGCCTCCAGCCACTGACCCAGGATAAGTTCAGGAGATAAATAAGTCCAGGAGAGGTAAATATAGAAGAGATCAAGGACATCAAACATGTAATATCAAACACAGCATCTGCACACCTCATGACCTCATGACCTCATAAACGAACTTAAAACTGAAATTCTAATTCAAGTAAAGCAAGATATAAAAAGATTAATAAAAGAAAGGCTAAGCACCTCTCAAGAAGACACAGATGGGAGAATGGAGGAACCCAGAAAAAGGAGAAACACCTTTGATGAAGAATATAAATAAAATCTAGAATACATGAAACAACAATGTCCTCTGCCTTCCTTTTTTAGGTAGAGGACATTTTTAATAATGTATCAGGATTTAAAAGTCACATTAGTCTTATCACTCAATTTAGTTTGATTTTATTTTGTTACAGTCTGTCTACTCGTACTAGAGTTGAGGGCACAGACAGCTATCCCCAAAATAGCAGGATATACTATGGTAACTTAATTTTCTATTAACTTAATCTGAAACCCTGTGTTACTTACACTGTCTTACTATGACTGATCTTATTTGAATCTGGTTTGTTAGATTGCTGTTTTGTCTTGACTGATTTTATTCGAATTTGGTATGCTTGACAGTATCAAGTCTAAGAGTAGACACAACTACTCTGAAGATGACAAGTTGCAATAGGATACCAATTCCAGTTTGATTATTAACTGCTGTTGAAGTCCTACAATGTCTCCAATGTTTTGTTTTTATTAATATTGCTATGTAGTGCTATATTCAATTATATTATGCCTGATGATATAAACAATTCTATTGAAAATAACAAGAGATATCATAGTAACTACTGTAGATCACCTAGAATTGTGGTTTTATGTCTTTTTCGTTTCATGTTTTTCTAGGAATTTGTTTTGTTGTCTTGTGTGTGTGTGTGTGTGTGTGTGTGTGTGTGTGTGTGTGTGTTTCTTTTTTATCCGTACTGGGGATTGAACTCACGACTACACACTTGCAAGGCAGGCGCTTATACCGCTGAACTAAACCCCCAGTCCCTGTTTTGTTGTCTTGTTTTGATTTGTTTTTCTCTCTAATACAGAAAGGATAGGTATACATATAGAGATTCACACATGTGTACAACTTCTAAACAGTTTACGAGAATAGATTATATAATGCACTATGTAATGAAAAGATACTCTGAAGAAAAAGAGACACTAACATGCCCAGTGCTAATTCTGTATCATCATGATACAAAATCTAGCAATACTATTATTCTCTGTCCAGAGTGATATTAGCCTATTTTCTTTTCTTTAATTTCAACATACGTAAAGATATGGACAGCTATTTGGAAGACAAAGAGAAACATTATGGCAGCCATTGTTGACTTCCCTATTGTCTGGTCTTGAAGACCTAAAATGCCTTCATCATCCTGTTCTGATCAGTTTAGCACTATTTTGTTCGGTATGAATTCACTGTGTGAAGATATGAACAACTATTTGGAAGAAAATAAGAGACAATATGATAGGCAGTGAAGCTCTCCGGTGGTCTTGCTTTGAAATCTGTGTTTCTTAAATTGTTTTCTTATGATCTGTTTTGCTCTGTTTTGTTATGTTTATTTTTACCCCCTCTAAAATAAAAAAATAAAGAAAATTACAGCTAACCTTTGGAAATCACCTACTAAGTGCCAGCCATTGAAGTAGTGGCACATTGAACCAAGCACTTTATAAAGTTGCCCTTCTTTGGTGGCACAGTCCTGTAACCGCAGTGCTCCAGGAGACTGAAATGCTTGAGTCATGGATCTGGAAAACAATAAGCAGCAGAGGTGAGAGGAAGTGATGCAAAATCCTTAGCATGGTGAAGGCATCAGGACACCAGCAAGGGCTGTGCGCCATCCTTGACCCTCATAAACAAACTGATCCCTCGGTGGGCCAGCGCACCAATGACTCAGAGCCGGTGGGAAATGTGCCCTTGCCAGGATCTGCTATGGGTTCTGTTACTCTTCCTGTCCATCTGCACACACACACTCATGGCCAGCCAGCTGCCCAGGCATGTGCCCAGCCTTGCAAGCCTCCAAATGGCCCCGGCATCCCCACCCGGCACAGGGTCCACTCGGTGCCCAAAGTGCAGACCCAGTGGAAGTTTTATTTGTGTTCTAAACCCTATCACAAGTCCCTGCTCAATACGCCTGAGCTCTTTCTGAGTTTAGGCTTTTCCTTCTGTTGGGTGGAACTGATCATGACGACGGGCAATGCAGCAGAGCCCGTCAGGAGAGGGAGGAGACTTTCAAATGAGGAATAAGTAATCCTTCAAGTTACAAAGTTTAACTAAAAGGACAACTTCCCCTAAACTGAGTCATTTATATACATGGCTTCCACAATGCCCGTTCCGTCCTGATGAAGACCAAGATTCCAATTAGGACCTGGTTTTCCTCACCGTGGGCTATGTGAGGCCATCAGCAGGTTGGAGTCGGCCCGCATGCATTCAGTGCTTAATTGTCACTATATTTAACAGTAAATCCTTTATCTCCCAAATTAAATCCTCCTTTTTAATCCTAAAACCAATATCTTAAATCCTTGTTATTTTTTTCCGTTCTCTGCCCCCTCAAAATCCATATTATGTTGATTCTTCCTTCTCAGTAATCCCTAAAATTGTCTCTTCTCTGCTCCCTAGTTAAATCCCGCATTCAAATATAAATCTTTCTCTATAACAATCGATCTGTCCTCTGGCGTCTTGCTCCTTAGTTTCACTTCAACTTTGTAAGCAGGACAATTTTACCATCCTCCAGTGCCATCAAAGCCCAGATAAGCAAACAACCTAGTTCTAAGAAAGAAAGACAAAAGAAAAAGAAAAGAAAATTTAACATGGTGGTTTGCTTTTACAACTCCTCTATTTCCTCTGCCTTGAACTATGGATTCATTGTTGGTAAATGAAACAAATTTCCCTCCAGGATTCATAGTCCAATAATATCAGAAATATATATTGAGCACCTGCTTTGTGCTCACAGTGTTTGATGCTGGCTTTGTAAACATGCGTTAATGCCAGGATTGGCGATGGATTTTCTGGACAGCCTCACACCCCCCACGTAAGCACATAAGAGCATGCAGCCTTAAGGGAGGACTTAGGGCTCAGCCTCCAGGTGCCCCCAGTATGAGCCTACGCAGTCGCCTTACAACTGTCAGAGGACCCTCAAATATCCCAGTGAGCAGGAAAATACATCCATATTAGAATCCCACATCTTGCGAGGAGGGGAAATGCATTACAGGAGCCAATGGCTGTCTATAAATGATTCTGTTTAAGGAATATGAAAATAAAAATAAAAATAATGAAACACAAGCTTACATTTAATGTGCAGAAGATGAGAATGTTCACAACAGCCCATAAACACTTCTACCTCCAGCTCTCGCAGCTCACAAAGATAATATTCCTCACCTCTTATACTTGCATTTGTACTCACTCACAATGAACTGTAATGGTCTGTGGCTCACTTACCCCCACCGCACCCCCCGGGCATGGAGTTCCTTGGATGCAGTCACTGCTTTGTTCACTATTGAGCGCACAGTGCTGGGCACGGTGCTTTGTACCACGGAGCAAGGCTATGAATGTCGGATGGATGAATGAACAAATGAAGTGGCATAAGAGCAAATGAAGGGACTGAGGAGAGATTTAGAATAAATGAGGCCTGATAGCAGCAAAGACTTGGAAAAGTGTAAGTTCCCTGGGCATTGGTGGAGTGGCAGGTAAAAAAAACAAACACACTGATGCACTGGGTGGGTCAGTGGCAGGAGAGCAGACTGGAGAGAGTCAGGTTGTGGAGCGCTTCATGTGCTGGGGAGGTTGGATAAAATCCTGGGCAAAGAGAAGACTGGTTTTGTGTCTTCCTTGAGTCCTCCAGGCCCCTTAAATTACTCATCCTGCCAGGCACATCATCATCTAGCCACATTTTAGTAAAAAGAAAATGTGATGAGAATAAGCATACCTATGGCCTATTCAACAACAAAATACCCAATTTATAAAACCCAATTTAAAAACAGGCAAATGATTTGAAAAGCCATTCCTCAAAAAAAAAAAAAAAAAAAAAAAAAATATATATATATATATATATAGCCAATAAATTCAAGAAAGATGACGAATCCACAGGGCAAGGCCATTCAAAACCACAATGAAAGCCAGGCACGGTGGCACATGCCTGCAAGCCCATAACTCTAGAAAGCTCAGGCAACAGGATTGCAAGTTGGAGCCCAACCTGGACGAATTAGCAACTCAGTGAAAACCTGTCTCAAAGTTCAAAAAAAATTAAAAGCCTGGGGCTACAACTCAGTGTGAAGGCTAGTGCTATTAAACAAAAAAAAATAATGAGACACTACTTGACACATTTATCAAATAAACAGAAAATTGTAAGTATCGGTAGGGAGAAAAATGGTAAGGAGAAAATTGGTAAGGAGAAAAATGGAACTCTTGTGCATTGCTAGTGACAATGCCAAACAAGTAATACTACTGTTTTAATTACTTTTCTTGTTGCTGAGACAAAATATCCATTGCCCAAAGTTAAAGGAGGAAAGGTTCATACTGGCTTACAGTGTGTAGAGGTTTCAGGCCATAGTCCAGTGGCTCCAAGGAGGGGCAGCGTGGCAGAGGGACATCAGAGAGCAGAGACAGTTCACAGCATGGCAGGCAGACGGCGGCGGCAAGCACCAAGTGGATCTTCCTTCTTTTCCCCTTATATTCCAACCAAGGTGTCAGTCTATTGATTGGTGCCACCCACATCCAGGGGAGGGTGCCTATTAGCCACCCCTAGAACTCTGCTACACCAGCTACACGCCCTTAATCCCAGTACCACACACTGTAGATGCAGCCACTTCTGAAAAACCACACTTATGAGTGCATGAGGCTTTGGGGGACATCTAGACACAAACCATAATAGCGGATTCTTAAAAGTTTAATTACCATATTATCCAACAGTTCTACTTCTAGTATATACTCCAAAGAACTGAAATCTGAGACAAGAGCAGATAGTTGTGCACAAATGTTCACAGCACCATTTTTCACAAGAACTAAGAGGTGAGAACAACCCAAATATTCATTAACAGATGAAAAGACAAACAAAATGCGGCATATATATGCAATGATTCTTCCATGAAAAGGAAAGAAGAGAAAAAGGAAACTCAGATACATGCTACAACATAGAGAGAATCTTGAAAACAGTACATAAGATACAAAAGGACAATTAATTATGTGATTCCACTTACATGAGATGTTGAGAACTAAGAATCCCATACAGATAGGCACTAGGGGTAGAAAAAATGAAAAGTTATTTTTTAATAGGTACAAAGTTTCAATACAGGATGTCAAAAACTTTATGAAGATTGTGATAGTTGTACAACATTGTGAATATTCTTAATACCACTAAAATAGACACTTAAAATGGTTAGCTTTACATTATGCAGGTTTCACCTCAAAAAAATTCAAATTAAGCTCTAGTACTGAGTCAGTGCCATTCGCAGACCGTGGGGGAGCGAACGAGGCCTTACTAAACAGCAAGCCATCCCTGCGAACCAGCACCACGCGTGGGCCACTGCCAGTAGGGAGACAGCCAGACCCAAGCCCCTTCCAGTACTCGGGCTGGCAAACAAAAACCAATCCCCAATCCCCACCATCACCACCATCAGCAACTGACTGCCTGGAAAAACACAGCCTGCAATGATAGCGATTGAGGTGAAATGCAGTTCAATGCTTGTAGTGTTCTGGTGTTTCCCTGACCTTGCAAGTCTAAGGCCAGTGGACTGGTCATCTACACAAAGGATAGCGGTACACAATGTGGCATCTAGGGGGGAATCTCCTTCTGAAGGTGTAGCCATTGTTAATTTCTTGTTATGTTGTTTTGAAGTCCTGTATCATTTTCATTGTTTGATTTTGTTATATCCAATGGCAGGGCAGTTATTTCAAAGATAGCAAGATATCATATGGTAGGATTTGTATTTACTATTGTCTTGTTTTGAAGTCCTTTATTGCATTCATGGTTTGTTTTGTTTTTATTGTTTCTACTCTATTTTTTTCTGTTTGATTTTCATTATGTCTGAAGGTATCTGCAGCTATTTTGAAAACAACAAAAGGCATTATGGTAACAATTATTTCATATTTTTTGAGTCCTGTATCACTTGCACTGGTTTGTTTTGATTGGTTTTATTCTGTTTTATTTTCCTTGGTTTTATCCCCTTTAAAATAAAAAAATTAAATTTAGAAGTTCTAGTACTGTTTTCTTTGCCTCCACAAACTTAAAGAATTCCTCTCTCAAATTCAGTTTTGAACATGTTGAGTTGGATTTTTCCTCTGTCCTCCTTCCATTCTCTTTCCATGACATATTTAAATCATCCCTTACCCCTAAAAGTTTTGCTTAAGATTCAGAGTCTCCAGAAGGCCGTTATGGTTTGAATGCATCCCCTAGAGGTGTGGTTCAGGTGCTGGGAGCCCGGACCCCAATGTGGGGGTACTAAGAGGTGGGACAGCCCTAAGAACAGTCCTGCTGGGCGTGGCAGCACACACCTGTAATCTCAGCACTTGGGAGGCTGAGGCAGGAGTGTGAGCTAGTTGGGACTACATAGTGAGATCCTGTCTAAAAAAAAAAAAAAATCAAACAAAAAAGGAAGGAGGAGAGATGAGTCCAACTGGTGGAAAGTGATTAGGCTATTGGAGTCACCACCTTTGGAAGTTTTCATGAGATATCAACCAGTTCTCTCAAAAGTAGATTGTTATTTTTTAAAAAATCAGGACCAGCTTCTCTCTGTCCTGTGGGCTCCTGTTTTGCTGCATGATCATTTATGCACCCTGTGGTTTTCCTTCTTGTTTCTATGCTGTATTATAATGCAGCCACAGGGGTCCTCACCTAAGACCAAAATGACAAGGCTGCCTGGTCTTGTTTTGGGTTTTTTTTTTTTTTTTTTTTGGTACCAGGAATTGAACTCGTGACTGCGTGCTTGCAAGGCAGGCGCTTATACCACTGAGCTAAGCCCCTGGCCCTAGGCTGCTTGGTCTTACACAGTTAGCCTCCAAAATTGTGAGCTAAAGATAACAAATCCCTTTTTAAATAAAGTTCCTAGCCTCTACTATTTTGTTACAGCAACAGAAAACAGACTAATAGAGAGAAACAGCATCTCTCATGGTTAAGTTTACCTGGCTCCCACTAAGGTTTTTACCTAAATTATTACAGACATCTAAGACACTACATTGTTAGTGCATGTTTTTAAGCACATGAAAATAACAGTCATCACCTCACACACAAGAAATGTGATTTGCTTGCCTACCAGTGGGTCTAACACTATCATGAATCTGTGAAAGAAAGGCTTCTACCAACTTGTAAGAGGAAGAAAATATTCACCTTGTGCTCTCAATAAGTGCCATGTCCAGGTAAGACTTTTTTGAGAGCATGAGCCAATAATAGGACAGATAGGGAGTCCAAGAAAGACCCCTGAGGGCCAGGAGCACAACGAGGCAGTTCTCTATTCTGAGTACTTGTCAGTCACTGGTCACTGGAACACTAACGGATGTTCACCAGTATTTCCTGTAATTGCCATTCTTTTTGCCACAGAATTCTTTTCTCATTTCCTCAGGGAAGATCTGACAAGAAGAAAATGAGAGCAATAGCTTCAGAGAAAAGGTTTTTGAGTTTCAAAAGTCTAGGACTTGAGGCATAAACAACAGATTTGGAATAAAGTGTAATCAGCTGGAGCCAGTTTTCCCTGTTCCCCAGAGCTAGATAAGGGTTTCTTCTCCTGGGGAAAGGAGTAAGAATCAGAGGTTTAGAAACTGCTAAGCCTCTCCAAAGAATGCTGGTCCCTGCCCTACTCAAATCAATTGCTGCCTGTGTCCTTAGGGAGCACCAGCCCCCCATTTCATGGTAGCAGAGCCCAAAGCTGCAGGAGGACCAAGTCCCACAGCGCAGAGGCAGGATTGGAGACACTGGGGCTGCGTATAAAGGTAGGTGGTGTCAGTCTGCTTTGTGAGCTTCCTGCAGCCCTGGAGTAATCAGAGAGCAGCATTTGTGTGCAAGTACAAGGGAGAGCCTGATGGCGCCTGGAAGGGAGACCCAAACTAAGCGAGCAGATGGGTGACACACGGTCCCACGGGTAATACAGGCTGACAAATGATTGGTCACCACCTAAGGATGAGGATGACCTGGCCAGTGTATGCACAGAGGATGAGCTGGAACCAGAGCACCTCACTGCTATAACAGGGCACACAGCAGCCCTCACCCACCAGCCCAGGCTTAAACCTGGGAGACAGAGAGCAAACCGTGAAGTGACTTAGGTAGTATTTCTGCCTTGTGTGCATCACAGCTTCAACTCAGAAATTCTGCAGCTGATGGAAGGAACAAAGTAGTTGTTCCTCTTTAAAAACCTGAATTTGTGGTCTCTGATTCCTGCCTGCCACATATTGATGTGTTTGTTGCTTATTAATATCCAGTAAAATCACATTTCTCTCAAAGAATTCTAATATCAGTCCATGATGTGAAAACCACATATATTCACAATTACCCCCTGAAAAATCTCTTAATTTACTCATAAAAATGTAGTGCTGTGCCATAACTCAATTCAAAGCTGCCAGCTTCTCCTCTAGCTTTGAAACAGATTGCTACTTCTATTTTCCAATTGAGAGCCAAATATAGTAACTAGCTTTTGTTTCAAAGTATGTTGTTCAAAAACTTAAAAATAAGTGTTTATCTCTTCAAATTCACATAGTTTACGATTTCATCGCACAGAGAAACTGAGACCTGCTAAGGGTCTCACTCTGGGAAACTTCTGGTTGAATGCAATGAAAGGTGACTCTCACTCATAACCAAAACTGTCACCTCCCTTTCAGGGCGCCTGCTAAACTCACGGGGTCTTCCCACATGTGTTAGTGTCCCCTTTCAATCTCAACTTATTGAGTGCTGAGACTTGTATGAAATGAACATTCTGGAAGCCATGTCAGCTGTAACTTCACAGCTACCCTGAGGCTGGACTGACTACCACTTCACATTCACCAGAAGACCCTCTCAGGCCAGAGCATTCATCAGACATGTGTTCTGGAACATTCTATAGGTGAGTCAGAGGAGAAGTTGACTTCAGAGCTTACACAGCTTCACAGCAAAAGTCCCCATGAACATGCCTGCACAGCCTCTCTCCCTTACCACCATCCCCTGACCTGCACTTGGCCTCCAGGCTCCAGCCTCCCAGCCCTCTCCGCCCCCTTTCCACACCTCACCACTCCGCCTTTGGTGTATACTTCATAGATTCGAACTACACACACACACACACACACACACACACACACACACACACACCAACAACAACAATCAACTCAGCAAAAGGATTACCTACCACAATCCACCCCACTGAAAGGTAAAAAAAGACACATTACTATTACACATTTACTCATTCTGAATAGGATCTGAATTTAATTTAGTATCTTAACAGCTGCCACTTACGAATGAGCTAAATGCTAGACACTTTATATGTGTTGTCCCAGTAATTTCCTATAACAACCCCTGAAATGTTCTCCAGTTCACAAATAAGGGAACTAAGGGATCAGCAAAGTGAACACTAAACATTCAAGTCACAGCTCAATCTAAAATGCATAGTTTGATTTGCATCACTTTGTCTTCCACCTGAGGAGAGTGACACAATTTTCCTACCTAAATTCCTATTTCATGTTAAGACAGTCAAAGTTTGAGATAATCACCTTGGAGTAGGAATCAAAGTAAAAATACAGCCACAAACCCTAGTGTAATCATGCCCAAGAATGCAGACTACCGTCCAGCTGATCCGAGCTCACCAATACACCTTTCTGTTGGAGGGATCACGTAATACAATCCCAACCAGTGAAACATAAATGGGGTGGCACTGGATGAGGATCCTAGGAAAGCACTACATAAGGGAAAGATCAATCCTTCCTTCTTGTTCTTGTCTGAAATACAGATGCCATGCCTGGAGGTTCAGCAGAGCCATCTTGTGTCACAGAAATAAAAGCCACCCGCTAAAAGGACAACACGGAAAGTTAGACCCCTGACACATGGCAGAGACATGTTTCAACTATGATCACCTAACCCTCATCTACTCTTTAAGAAAAAAAAATAAAGTGTTGAAGAGCTGCATACTAAGGCCTTTTGCGATTTGCAGTCAAACACATTCCGTCACTTACAGCTACTAAATGGTCTCTTTCCCGCTACAGGATGCTCCACAACTGTACCCCAGCCAAAGACTGATTGCTGCCTGCTTCACTCAGACATCTATCAGAGTCTTTCCTCCTCGAATTTACAAAAGTCAAACTTGTCCTACCTGGGGACAGATAGAGCATTTAGCAAATACAAATGAGTGAATCAAAGGTACACAGGTTGGACCTTAGGGAGTGGATGATTAAAAGGATTAAAATAATCATATGCTCTTGGGGAAAGTTCTTCTCATATTTCCATATTTGGTTTTTAATAACCAACTCTACCTGGCTAGGAAATGTATCTGCTGGGTCTCAGAAAGGCTCCTGATGCCCAATGAGATCTGAAAAACGGACTTAAGGTCGGAAAGAGAAATTCTGCTGTGTCACTAAAAAAAAACCACTAAGTGAGTTCCCTAATGATTCTGGGTTAGGAGTTTTGAACATCTGAAAACCAAAGGAGACACTAAGTCTGCTGAAAACAAAGGCGCTCGTAGGTGGATTGGCAGCCACTGTTGCCCCGTGAGTGTTGGTGAGGATGTTAACAGGAGTGAATGTGACTGCAGTGGGGTTTGTCAGATTAATACCCACATTAAAAGGCACAGAAGAAGTCATGGCCTTTCTGGACCACTGTTTGTCACTTAGCAAGCAAGAGCTTCATAAAACTTGCGATGTTGCAAAAACCCCTATACGTATCAAAAATTTAGACATTAACCCCTGTTTACAACATTTGTTCACAGCATACAGCCGAGAACCTTTTTAGTAAATCACTTGAGATAAGCTGTCTGGCCCCAAATAAAAGATGTTTGCCAATTTCTTGGTAAGGCAAAAGAAGAGCTCTTTATCAAAAGCATATTAGCATATTTTGCCTCATTAATAACTTCACTGCAGCATTAATTTGCCTAATTATCACATTTGGAATTCAACATGGTGTCTAATTAATTCCAAACTCCAAAAACAAACCCAGACTCATAAAGCACACCAACATGCTCCTGCTTCAGCAGCCTCCTCTCCTTGGCGTGTGTGTCTATGTAAGCCTTCCGAGTCTGCTCGGTGAATTCATTCCTTATTGAGTCCTATGTAATAAAAATCCATTATTTTAATAAAACTGTGTCTTGTAACGAGACGATTATCCTCCAGGCCTAGCAGGTTTTGTTTTCTAAATCACCTGCAGCTCTCTTTCTCTCAGCATTTTGTTGCTGTTGCTATTTTGTTGTTGTTAGCCTTTCCTAAAGTTTGCAGGAGTATACAAGGGGTAATGGAAACATGTGAATATTTAAATTTTTAAAAATGTATTATGGTAGAAGACCCATTGCCAAGAATCATGTGTGCTCAAAATAAAGGGGCATATTTTCAGTTTGAAGGTGCTAATGGCAATGTTTTATTTACTATAATAAATTTTTAAAACATTTTTTAACATTCACTGTAATTTCTGATCACACCTCTTCTACATCAAGAACTGAGGGATCATGCTGGTTTTTGTTTTTGTTTTCTTAAAGAACTGTGTCATCTCCTTTCTTTAGCAGTCAATGCCTTCAGCACTGAGTAAACCCACAGTATTTGTTCACATTTCTCTTCCACGGAAGTCTTTCTACCCAATTTTCAGAAGCCCTGAATAAACACTAGTCAACATTATCAAAAATAAACATCGGAGCATATCTGGTGCCTCCCGAAAGGCTCAAGCTCTGTAACAAATGAAACTGAAAAATTCTGGTTTCCAGGCTCAAAACAGCACCTTTTTATTCAATAGCATCACTCTCCTTCTCCCCTGAGGCTACTTCCCATAAGAATATTTGATTGTCACAATAGACCGCATGCATCTTTCCATTATAGTGGAAAAATACAGAAAAGACCTACATCTATATTACAGGAAGGAAATAATTGTTTAAGTAAATGCTGTCTCCCATATATCAGCTTTGGGGTTATTTTTAAAGCATTAAAGTTATGGCCAAGAACAGTCATGTCGAGTTGGTATACTGGGAATATTTTAGATTCTATAAGTTGCTGATGACCACCCAATGGGAAATGCCACTTGGGAAATCTCAGACATAAAACGTGGAGACTGCCATCTTCCAGTAATTTATTCCAACTCAAAGAGCAGATATTTATAGATTACAAGGCACATTCTGTTATAGGTCAGATCCACACCAACAACAATCTTCCCTAGGCAGATAATTTTCCATATGAATGTACATTTTAAAACTCCTAAGTTTAAAATAAGCTTAGTGTTTGTCTTCCTTTAAACCACGCTTGTGAACAAGAATAGCCTGAACTCAATAATTCAGCCCATGAATGTCACCAGTGGCTGAGGGCAACGTGTAGCTGCTTTGCGAGTTAAGTTTTTCTTTTCTGGTAAACCTAGCATCAACATCACTTTGGGCCTTCTGAGACCCCTGCCAGTATACCCATTATGAATAAGCTTAAAATGA